TTTCATGTAAAGAAAATCAGTTGATTTTACTTTTATTTTTGATAGTTTTAAACTTAAAATATACTCATTTTATTAAATGATTATTTTATCATATAAAATTTGATGGTTTACGATAAAATAACTCAAAATTAAATTAATTTCTATTTAATAAACGTAAAAGTATAAAAATATTCAAATGTGATTTAAATATTTGTTTGATATTATTTTCAATTTAAGTATTTTTTTTCCTATTTATTCCTTTCTGATATGATTTATAATTTTTAACCTATTAAATTTTGGAGGGAATTTTTGATTCATAATTTACTAATTAAATTATTAAGAAAAAGAAATTTATATATTCTACATGCAGCGTTATCAACAAAAAGAAGCAAAAAGAATATGAAAAAAATAATCAATTGCATAAATTAGACACTTTTAATTTACATTTGATACAGTTTAATTGGACTTTTACATTAAATATAGGTTTAAATTTTAAATAAATTTAAACTTGAATTATATTTTGATAATAGCATTTATAGAAGTTAGCATAAAGTTTATACAAAATTTTGTCTAAATTTAACTATCTTGTTAAATTTAACATAAAGGTAACTGTAATTTGGCAATATTTTTTGGCCAATAGAAAAATAATTGAATTTCAGGTTAATTAAAATTCCCTCCAAATTTCCCTCCATTTATATAAATGTAAAATACCCCTTTAGGACATGAAGGAAGATAATGAAGTTACTAAGGAAAATGCTAACCAAGATAGCACTTTTTCACCTATGAAGATACATAAGAAACAAAAAAGGAATAAAATAAATGTGCTTAAAGAGGTAAAAATAGATAAACAAGAAGATGAGATCACATATATTAATCCTAAAGAACTAGATGAGCTGTTTGGTAAACTTAGTGATGCTCCTGAGCCAAAGAAAGATTTTAGAGAATTATAAATATATTGTATAGAATAAATGATAGTATTAATTTAAATTTATCTATTTTTAATCCTTTAAAACAAAATACAATTAAATCATTTTCTTTAATTTTTTTACTACCATTTTTAAAGGTATTATATTTTTACAACTGCTATGTTTCAGACAATGTGGTGGAGTGGTTAACACGTTGGATTGCTAATCCATGCCTCAATTGGTGCGCGAGTTCGAATCTCGTCATTGTCGTTTTTTGCAACTATTTAAATAATAAGTTATAGATTATTTAATGAAAGAAAGAAGCTTAAGAAATACGTTTAAGATGAATTTATTGTATTACTAAGAATTAAAAAGAATCCTCAAATATTAGTCAAAAATAACTGTTCATTTTTTAAGAAATTAAAGCATTATGACAAAATCAAGAAGATATAATTCAATCTAGAATAGGTCGATGCAATTCTAAATTTTCTTGAATTTCTAAGAGGCTAAAGAGCACATTTTCAGATAAAACTAATATTTCATTTGTTTTAAAATCTTAAAGATTGAACTAATGATGGTTTGTTTATATAAAAATAGATTCTTTTTGACTCATGGATATTTTTTGCCATTAGTTATATAATATCATATTAGATGCTAATAAAGTAGAGCAGTAGTATTTGGGATATTAATCATATGCAAGAGCATTAGAATTTATAAATTTTTTTAAATATGTAAATTTATTAATAGAATATTTTATAACAATTATCACACTAGTCGTATAAATTTGTATGTTATTAATTAATAAATGTAAACATAAAATCAAGACAATAAATTATAAGTTTTACTAAAAGATAGCTTATTTATATTTTAAATGATTAAAATTATAGATATTTTTTTAAAATATTACTAGTATCAAAGTAGTATAAGAATATATCCAACTCCTAAAGCATAAGAAGTTTGATTTAAATTTTTTATGTTAAATTAACTCTTTATAGTTACTAAAAAATGGTAATATCTTAATGATTTATCCTAAGACATTTTTATAACATTTTCATTAAAAAGAAATAAAATAAATGTAAAAAGTTATGAAGCTTTGAATATTTTAGTTTGAAAAAATTAATTTACTTGAATTACTCTTTAAGCCTTTCCCGCATAAACATGAAACTACTAATTTAAAAAAATAATATTCTTTTTTCATTCAAATTTATATATAATTGTTATTGTCAATAAAATATCATTCTTTGAAATTTAAAAGAGTTTTAAGATTATTAATCTGATTGAAAATTCTTAGATTAGAAAAAAGGATATTTAATTATGTTGATATTTATACTTATATGTTTCTTCATTGTTGAAGACCTATAATTTCATATAAAAATATTCTTTTAACAGAATTTCTCCAGAAAATGTTTGGATCAATTATTCAAATTAAAATAAAATTATGTTGATATATCTTTTTTTAATTTAAAGAAGTTT